TGGGGGGGGGGGGCAAGGATAAATGGGCCTTTAACCTTGTGTCACTAAGTGTGGTTTTTGTGCTCACCAAACAAACTGAAGCCTTCATGGGTTTCACAGCTTATTCCTTCTGAAAAAAGTATCACTGAAAAATTCTAGTTATGATATTAAACATTTAAGGATGGAGTGTAATTATATGGTGACAAAAGAAGGCACATATTAATATCATTACATTTTCAAAAGGGATTCAAAATCTGCAAGCATTTTGTCAAACAAATTTTTTTTAGCAAGAAAGTTGGTTATTTTGGTGGTAGTATTATGAGGTCTTCAATAACCTTTTTTTCCCCTTGTAGGAAAAGTGTCAGAAGGTATAGCAAGATAAATCAATGTAAAACGCTTAACTTTGGAAGCTTACCTCATTGTAATGAGTGATGGCATTTAGAAATGGTCATTCCTAAACTATAATTTTAGTAGATGAAATTAACTCCTTACAATCCATCTGGAATTTTTATTAAACATGGTATGACTCAGAGATCTAATTACTTTTTCCAAGTGGATAGTCAATTATGTACACATCATATTCAATAATCTATTATATCCCCTGCATATCCATTAAAATGAAATGTTATCATATATTAATTTCTCATACATACCTATTTTTTATCTGTTTCTGGATTCTCTGTTCTATTCAACTGATCTGTTTATCTTTTTCTAAACTTACTATTTTAATTACTGCTATTTTGCTTTAGTACCAGATAGAATAAGTTACCTCTCATAAAAGTTTTTCCCCCAATATTTTCTTAATAATTCTGTTATATTCATTCATCCATATGAACCTTGTAACATTTATAATGTTGTATAATTCCAAAAATTAATATTCTAGCACATTGGATTATTTATATAAAATTGGCAAGACATAATTTTTTTATTTTGATATCTCCCCATGCAGAAATATATTGTCCCCCCATTAATTTAGACCATATTTTATGTCCTTCAATAAAATTATATTTTTGTATAGTTCTCCTCCCATCTTTGTTAAATGTATTCCAAAATGTTCTATACTTTTTCATCATTGTAAATGGAATAATTTCATTTCCCCTTTTACATGTCTAACTGATTATTGCTAGCAAAAAGAAGCTGTTGAATATTTTGTATATTTTTATTAAGCTACTTTACCAAATTATCTCATTAATTCTCATTTTGTTCTTTTTGTTGAGTCTTTTGGGTTTTCTTGATATACAATTATATAATCTGAAAAAATAGATTATTTTGTCTCTTCCAATATTTATAGAGCATATTTCATTTAACTTTCTTACCGTATTAGCTAGAACCTCTAAAACAAGTTTGAATAATGGTGGTGACAGAGAGCATTCCTATCTTGTATGTCATGAATGTAAAGATATATTTATGTTTACAAGGATGTTTCTTGCACTACTGTGGTTTAAAAAATAAAACTAGAAAAACTTGAATGTCCATCAGAAGAATAGTTGAATAAAACAAAGTTAATTCTGTCCTATGAACTATGAAACAGCTATTAAAAATGATTTAGATCTATATTATCAATATGGAATGGTGTTGATGATACATTTGTGTGTGATGAGGAAAGCTGAAGAGTAATATGTGTATATGTATCCATTAGCAGAAAAATAAGACGAAATAGTAGAATGAATATTATAAGAGGAGGCTGATGTCCTGAATTTTACTCCTAGCTGCTAAGTTTTGAGCTAGTCAAACTCCTTTCTTCAAGTATAAAATTGAAATAAAACCATCTTACTTTATCTTCTGGTGGGATCCTCTGCACCAGTGCTGCATCTTAGAGCAGCGTCTGTGATCAAGGCTGGGTTTATCCCCAGGCCCATTTCAGGAAAGGGACTCTAGAGTCACACTGCCTTAAATACAAAACCAGATTTTGTTAGCTAAGTAACTTTGGATAAGTTTCTACATCCCTCTAGGCCTCACTATTTTCTCTATTAAATGAGGATAACAATGCCCACCTCACAGAGTTGCATTGAGACCTAAATGAGATAATGTAGTGACCAAGCTTAGCACTGTGAATAGCACATAGCAAATGTTTAAGGATCACTAACAAGGCTGATGATGACATAAATAGTCCCGCAAAATTATGAATATTCTATATTTATGCATAAGGAACATCATGTTTCTTTTTATCTGTCAGAATTTTATCTTCCTTAAGAAATAAAAAAGGAGAGGACAGTTTGCATAGAGGCTTGAGGTTTTAGTTCAGGGCATGCTCTTGGTGCCTATTGGTGAGTTCTCCAGGTGTCAAATGGAGAGGCTTCCAAATGTGAAACCATTGGCAGTTGTAGGAGTTAGGGCTTAGGCTTCCCTGGTAACTAAGGGTCTGTCAGATCCGATAGAAACAACCTATTCCACATTTTATTTATGTTTTGTTTCAACAATGTGCATAGCACCTGTGCAGAAAACCTCCTTGGTCATCTCTGGCCATCACATTCAAAACTCTACTGTGTGTCAACCACTGTGGCTCAGATCTGACAGAGGGTGCTCAGTCCTGTTATAGGACCATAGGGCCTCTGGCTAGCAGGCAAACTATCATAGCTTAAATATTATAAGGTTATTTCTCTGCTTCCTTCCCTGGATCTATTCTCTGCCCTAGCCTGCCTTACTCTATCACCAGGGAAGTTGAATACTATTTATTCTAACTCCTGGTTCTGCCCTCTGACTTATGTTTGAGCTCACACTGGGGATAGGGGGAGGTACTAGCAAGAAACTAGAAGGCAGAAGTTAAGAGGGGATAGGGTATTTATCCTTCCTACCCCCCCTCTATCTGCACAGTCCATATGTTCCACTAAGACGACAGGTCTGGACAGGCCCATACCATTCTTGCCAGGTTCCAGTGTCACAGCTCCTTTCCCATGCCACACCTCAGTAAATAGTTCCTTTAACTCTCTTCTGTGCAACTTTTCAGTATTGTTTATTTCTAACTAAACATGTTATTCCTGGTGTTCACACGCCCTGCACTGGGCCCATTTCCCTCCTCTGCATTAACTGCAGTGGCTCTCACAATGCAGACCATGATAATAATTGTTATTCTTTGTAAGTACCATTACTTCTAATGATGGGCTTTGTTCCTAACAGTAATTCATATTTCTATGTCACTCAAATACTTTCTTAAATCTTAACTCTTCTTCCCATTTGCTCTCATGAGTTGGAGTGAAGGGAGATTTTACTTATTTTTTTAGCAGTCGGAAAAGATGAGATTGTTTCTGAAAGCTGATGGTGGAAGTGCATGAAAACCGGTGGTATATAAGATTTATATCTCTGTATTATTTAACTATGGATCTGGTGATTTCTCGGTAAAATATCTAATACCAAAAACAAAAAAATAAAATATCTCCCTTTTCCTATCCCTAAACCAGTTATTGACTTAAGGTAGAATAGTGCATTTAACACCATACTGAGTTACCTTGTACCACACAACATCAGGCTCCTGATCAGATTTTTTAAAGTCATCCATGTCTGGACAGGAGATCTCTTTTCTTTTAGTGACTTCAGATTTTTCTAAATAGCGGATCCTGCTATTGTAGCACAGGCCTGATTCATTCTCTGCAACAGTCAAGGACATTGACACCTTCATACAATATGTAGAGTTTCTGTAGGAACAGAGAAACAGCAAAATAGCTTTATTGGGTGTTTACAACTTTGTTTGTACAATATATATTTCAAGAGTATTGACTTTTCCATTTAGGACATTGCTTAAAAATCAGAAACAGCATAAAAAAAAAATGGAAGTTTTCTACTTCAACTGACAGAGAGATATGAAATAAAGTGCTAATATGGATATTTCTGACCATAAGGCAGCTACATAGAACAGCTGTACCCAACTTCTGAACCATAAGATGGTCACACTTCTTTCCCAGGGATAAATATTTTTTATTAAATTTTAGGGTGACATTGGTTAATAAGAGATAAATATTTTGAAAATCTGATAGTGAAAACTTGTGAGAAAGACTATAACTAGAAGTATAGTCATTTCTGCTCTGCCCCTATGCCTAGTCCATTACCAGATATTCCAAAGATTGTTTAATTTTGCCATTGATTTCTAAGCCAACATGTACTTTCACAGGATACACATCAAAAACCAGATCAATGTACAGAAGATACCTGTTAACTTATATAGCTTTTTGCAGTGTTTATTGAGATATGCCAGGGGTCCAATTCTGGCTTCCCACAAGGGACAAATCCTAGTAGAAAGTGGTCAGCCTGGATTAATTTTATGCACCAAAAATGGCATTGTAAAAGAGCTTCAACATTGAATTTCGCCATAAGATCACTTTAGAAATTGGCCATTAATTGGTAAATTCATATGTGGGTATTTATGGAACACAATACTGCCTTAATTTCCTATGTATACACCATGACCTTTCCCTACCCTACTGTACATGTACTACAGAAAATATCAACCACAGAAAGGAAAACTGGAAACTGTAAAGAAGAAATCAGAAACAACCTGATAAGACTTAGAAGAAGGTCAAATGTCTTATCTCTTGGTGGGACACACCAGAATCATATATGTTCTAAACATCAATGGATACCTGCTGTTAAAAATACCAAGTGCCAAGGGTACTCAAAACCAAGTATTTTAAAAATCAAGTGATAACAATCCAGACAGATGGGATTAGCATGATAAGCAATAACTTAATGTTGGCCTCAAAGCATTGTTAGTATTCATACTACTTAGTACTCATCAAAATGATGGATTTATAAACTAAGTTAATCAAAACAACTGCTTCTTGGATTTCTAGTAAAGTTAATTACTGGCAAGTACTTCTGACTATGCCAATGCCCATGTCATCTGAGAAGGATGCTATCAAATCACTCCCATTCTGATGTTCAGATGCAATCCAGTTATTAAATGTAGATTTTGAGCTATCACTTTTCTCTCTTCCTCAGTGTAGTTTCCTAGAACCTAAAGACATAAGATATGCCTAGTCTGGATCAAATGTAAGAACATTTCATTTTTTGTTAGATATTTGATAGCCTCTTCAAAACCCATACACTGAAGACTATATATATATATACACTTTGGTTCAATCAATTTGACTCTTCTTGACCCTATTTTCAATACTTCAGTGATAAACCTTTTCATGTCTTCTTACTTCATTTAGGGCCCATGATCTGTCCTATCATAATACTCTGTCCTTCACTAATTAGGGTGCAGTCACATGGCATTCCCTCTGTTCCTTGAGTACACTAAACCTATTGAAGCCATGGACTTCAACATTGTTCTTCTCTCTGATAGTCTATCATTTGTTTACTTGGTAAGTATAAGCAAAGAATTTGTTGCTCTTGTTCATCAGTCTATTCCTGGGACCTAAATTAATAGATAGTAGGTGCTCAGCAAATGTCAGTTGACTAAATGAGTGAGCATCAAAGGGTATGTATTCAAGACACATGTTCTCTCTGCTCCACTTTGGCATCAACCCCCACCCTCTCCATTCTACAGATTCAAATATATGGCTGGTCAAATATCACATTTCCTATTTAAATATGACTCAGAATAATTTTTCAGGTATTCTTGTACCACAAGGGTAAAGATTATGAAGTTTTTGTGCATCAGCATTCTACCAAAAGGAAATATACTGGCTATATCTGAAGACAAATGGGACTAGGGTAGGTATGAGGGATGGAGGTAAGATAAAGATTCACAGTTTTTAAAAGACATTGAACACAGCCCTGGCTGGTGTGGCTCAGTTGGTTGGAGCATCCTACCTTGCACCAAAGGGTTGTGGGTTCAATTCCCAGTCAGGGCACATATCCAGGTTGCAGATTTGACCCCTGGTAGGGGCACACAGGAAGCAACTGACAGATGTTTCTCTTTCACCCACTCCCTTCCTCTCTTAAAAAAAAAAATCAATTAAAAAAAATTCTCCATTGAGGTTTGAAAAAAAAGATACTGAACACAAGAAAGAGAATCACCTCTGCTAGGTATGCAGTGTTCTGTACAGTTTCTAATGTGACAGGTGTGCATCTGCTCCATGGTGTTCATCCATATAGGCGGAAGAGACTTACTTGCCATTATTATGTTATAACTCCAGCGAAAGAGAGTTTTTGACCAGCAGTCACAGCAATAGAAGTAGATAGAATGTTCAATGCCCTGAAAGAAGCTATCTCAAATGTATTTCGCCCTGGGAGAAAACAGGTAGGCTAAATAAGGGATCGAAAATAATGTAGTGGTTTCTTAACAAAGCACCAGATTTGAACGAAGATCCACTGGGTTCAACCTGCTCTATATAGTTGGATAAGTTATGTAACATCTCTTAGTCTCAGTTTACTCAACTGAAAAATGAAAATAATAAGTCCTTTATGGTGTTTCCATTGGAGGTTGGAGAAAGAAATTCTTTTAGTTATACAACCATGAGCAAAAATATGTTTACCATTTTCAGTAGGAATGATTACTATATCTGAAATTTCCAGGCTGTGGTAACTACTAAAATAAAATATATAAAACACATCATACACCATCTGCTACATAGTAGATATTTAATAAATTGTAGTTAGAATTGTTATTGCTGCTAGGATTACTTGTTATGCATATTTTAACAAATAATAATTATAATTTATATGTAATATAGTAATTATGAACAATAACCTATATAATAAAAACAATTCACTGGTAGCAATGGGTTAATATATGCCACGGAGTTAGGAGAGCTACTTGATAGGAAAGCATCTAAAAGAGGTCAGTTGGGCAACAGGTCCAATAACAGAGAGCCATGAAGTTCTGAAGAGATCAAAAAAATATACTAACCTAGGCGCAAAAAGAAGTGAATCAAGAGAAAGCTTTTAAAGCCGGAAAAAACTTCCAGGTACCGTGAGTACTAGCTACTAGACAAAGTCCAGAACCTTGAAGGTCAAATTATTACTGAGTTCCGCTAAGCATTCTGTGAGTTTCTTAAACAAATAATTTCTGTAATAATGACCATATCTCTAGGCAAGGTTTCCCAGGACCAAAGACAAAAGATACCCTTATGTGTCTCCTCTCTAACCCCTCCGAAGTTTCAACTATGTAGGCCATGCCATCAGAATCTTCAATATCATGGGATGGGGGTGGGGGCAAGGAGCTCACACTGGGGATGGGTGATGGGTTCAAGGAGGAAAAAGGATTGTTTCAGTCTTCTCTAACCTTTACCCACAAACAACCTTAGGCCAGAGCTCTGCATGCGTTTGCTCTTGCTCTGGTCTCTCTCACATGTAAAAAACTGCTGACAAATTGCTTGCTGACCAATGAACAAGCACTAGTATGAAGTTCCTGATGATGACCAAGGTCTCTGGATCTCAGAAATAAGGCCTGCTGCCTCTGTGGTTAACCTGGGAGAGGTGTGATCAATGCTGCCTGACAGTCTGAGACTCAGGTTGATTTTTATTAGTTGTGTAATCTAGCCATGGCACAGTTCCCGGGAACAATCTTTATATTATTTAGATTTTATTCTGAAAAATGCCCCCAGGCCAGTTCTATTTAAAATGTTTTCCGTAACTGAGACCTAAAAATGTTACATTTCTTTCATTAGGTACAATTAGAGCTGTGCAAGTTTGAGGAGGCGATTGAGGAGTGTGCAAGAATGGGGACTATACTTCTTTCTGTCTCCCTTCCCATCCTGAGGACGAGGAGCACATTTAGACTCAACATGAGCAAAGGGCCTCTGCAGTGATACTACATCAATGCCTTATATATTTGCAAGCATTTGTAATCTTTCAAATACTTCCATATCTCTTATTTTACTTAATTCTGGGAATAATCCCGGAAAATATGCAGGGTAAGTATTATCTGCATTTTGTAGAGGAGTACAAGATAGACACGGACAGGATAAATAACTTTTGTCAGGCTCATACAGATGGTCAGCGGATGAGAGCCAAAGTTTTGGCTTTTAGCCCCTGGCTGCTCTCAGAACTTGATGGGTTAACAGCCAAATTAACTCATAGCTATCCATAACAATTTGGAGAGGCTCAGAGAGATAAATACAGATGTGTAAAGATAGCATTATTTAAAGATAAAGTTAATATATGTACAGCACAGAATAATTTTTTAATATGTTTTATATTGATTTTAGAGAGAGAGGAAGGGAGAGGAGGAAAGAGAGAGAGAGAAATATCAATGTGAGAGAGAAACATCTATTGGCTGCCTCCCGCATGCACCCGCACTCGAACCCAGGATCGAGCCCACAACCTGAGCATGTGCCCTGACCAGGAATCGAACAGGTGACTTTCAGTGCACAGACAGTGCTCAACCAACTGAGCCACACCAGCCAGGCCAACACGAAAGAATTTGCTAATTTATCAATTAACCTCACTTGCTATTTCAAAAATTTAATGTTAGCTACTTTAGGTCATATATTATACTTTTTTTCCGGAAGTATTTCTAAGGGAAAATGTTGATGATTCTTGGGTTCCCTGAGGGGAAAAGTAAATAAGACCCAGAATTTAAGACATAATATGAAAAATCCAGATGCCCCTTTCTAACTCCCATTTATAAAACAGGTTTATACTATAAAATCTAAAGTTTTATTTCAGAATTTGAGTTTATGTGATTTGTTATATCACCAGAGCTAACCTATTAAAAAGAAAATAAATAAATTAGGGAACTTTTTCACATCTAAAAGCAGAAGCCCAGATAAAATGCTTCAGGATATACTTGAAACTTTTCTAAATGGTTGCTTCAATTGTCTTATCCTTACTTCAAAACATTTTCCTTGCAAATTCCGGAACCATCTAATGATCAGCAAACTAAAACAAACTTTGTTTTCTGACATTTTTGAAATGTGAAATGACCGCAATTCGTAGCTATCAGTTAATCAATCTACCATCCTTGGATGATGTCCTCCTCAAAACATAAGAACTCTGAACTAATAAAGAAAATTCAAGGAAGGGACACAAATGAATAAATCAATAAGATCTCAGGCCCTTTGATGAAGTTTATTACTTGAGAATCAACACAAAAATAAGAAAATTTAATTGAAAAATATCTTTGATCTTATTGGAAAGGAGATTTTCAGGCAAGTGCAGAAATAAGTACAAATGTCTTTAAAATGTTTTTACCAAATGCTAATACCAAATGCTTTTAATAGGTAAAAGCATTTAAAAGTTAATACTTTTAAAGACCAAGAGGAGGAAAAAAAGAGAGGGGATGCAAATTACTAATATCAGTCTCATAGATACAGAGAACAACTGATGGTTGCCAGATAGAAGGGGTTTGGGGGACTGGCAGTTACAAAATAGTCATGGGGATGTAAAGTACAGCATAGGAAATATAGTCAATAACGTTGTAATAACCATGTATGGTGTCAAATGGGTATTAGACTTATTGGGGCATTGCTTTATAAATTATATAAATGTCTAACCACTATGCTTTACACAAGAAACTAACATAATATTGAATATCATCAGTAATTGAAAAGAAATAAATAAAAGAAATGAAAGAGAGACACTACTATAGGTCACATGGATATTAAAAAGGTAAAGAAGGAATACTATGAACAACTCTATGACCACAAATTTGATGACCTAGGTGAAATGGATCAATTCCTTAAAGGAAAAATCTGCCAAAACTCATACAAGAAGAAACAGACAATATGAATAGGCCTATAGCCATTTAAGAAATTGAATCAAAAATTAATAACTTTCCAAAATAGAAAGCACCAGGCCCAGGTGGATTCACTGATAGATTCTATCAAATATTTAAGGAAGAAATTATATCAATCCTCTACAATCTCTTTCAGAAGACAGAAGCAGCTGGGCTACTTCTTAACTCATTCTATAAGGCCAGCATAACCCTTAATACCTAAAACCAAGACATTACGAAAAAAAAACCAAAACTATAGCTCAATATCTCTCATGAACATAAATGCAAAATCCCCAACAAAATAGTAACAAATCATGTCTAGTAATGAATGAAAATAATTATGTACTATAACCAAGTGGGATTTATCCCAAGTATGGAAGGCTGGCTCGATATTGAAAAATCAATTAATGCAATCCATCACATCAACAGGCTAAAAAAGAAAAATCACAGGATATCAGTAGATACAGAAAAAGCACTTTACAAAATCCAACACTCATTCATGGTAAAAACTCTCAGTAAACTATGAATACAGAGGAAATGGCTCAACTTGATAAAGAATAGGTACCAAAAGCCTACAGGTAACATCACACTTAGTGGTGAGAAACTAGAAACTTTCTCACTGGAATCAGGAATAAGGCAAGGCAATCCCCTCTCACCACTCCTTTTCAGCATCATACTGGAAGTATTAGCTAATGCAATAGGTAAGAAAATGAAATAAAAGATATACAGATTCAGAAGGAAGAAATAAAACCATCTTTGTTCACAAATAACATGATTGTCTATGTAGAAAACCTGAACGCACTGACTATATATATATATAGAGAGAGAGAGAGAGAGAGAGAGAGAGAGAGGGAGAGCGCAAGGTTGCAGGACATCAAATTACTACACAAAAATCAAATGATTTGCAGCATTATTTGCAATAGTGACAAGGAGAAATGGGTGAACTGGTTTTAATCTTTTTTTTTTTTTTTTAATAAATTAAGTAAAAAA